CTGCGGCTACCATGACAACTGGCTCCAAGGCAATACCTCCCGCTTGGATGAGCTTCCTGGGAAGGGGATGTGCGCCTGTGCGGAGACCGCGTTGCTCGTGGCCGACGTTAGTCCCTCTTTATTGTTCCTTATTTTTATCCCTTTTTTCCCAAAAAACCCATACTGTACAACCTCAAAAGAAAGACAGCAAAACCTACTGCAGCTGGAAAACCAGCAGCCACGTTAAAAACAGCAAATGCGCAATGAAAGCGAAGTCATTCAGGAGGCGCGTGTTTCCTGCATGAAGCAGGAAAGTCCCCTCGGTAAAAATAAGGGAGCGTTTTGATTTGACATGATATTTGGTGGGTTCCATCTAAAACCACGATGAAATTACTTAGTTGCAGTGAATACAAAGGCAAGGATCTGGGGCGCCGCTCTGGTGCAAAAACACATTGGAGACCTACAGGTTTGAAACGGACTCCAGCTGAAATCCCTGTCAAATCACAGATCAAATCTGCGTGCAGAGTTATAGCAATGACAGAGCTGACATCCCGGAGTAAAAATCAAGACAAATTCATGAGTTCCGTGTCTTGAGTCCATGTTTTAGCAGTACGACCTGTGATTTGATACTGTTTCAGGGGGATCCCACCTAAAAATCTAGAGCATTTGTATTTCATTCAAAGCACTTCTGTGTGGCCTTTCTCTCTCCATTTACAGCACTCAAAACAATTTTCAGATATTTGAAAACCAATAGTGAAAACAAAAAATATATAACATAGAATATTGGTAACTCAACTGTGGCGAGTTTTAAAAAGGGATCTTGAGAAATCCATAAAATATATGTTTATCACACTCATAGACGCATTTCTAACTTGCTGTATGTAGTAAAATACTTTCTGAAAAGCTCTCAGCATATCTTCCAAATGCTTCTCTTTTTTCAGCATGATGCCCTTTCATCTGTGAAATAGCAACTTGATAGATAGGCTCTGCTTCTCCTTGCATTTAAAGGAGATCTAAAAAAACTTTATTTCATTCTGCTTTTAGGGTTTTTTTTTTAATCCTGAGTTTTAATAATAATTCTACCTGTGAAAGTTGTTTTAATCTTAATGCCCATTTTAAACTGTTTGATAACTTATTTGTTAAATTTTGACAATATGTTGGTGAACTACTTTGGGAGATTAATGCTCTGAAGTACAATCAAAATCTATTTAATAATATTCCTGTGCATCAAACATTTCTGTCTAAAGAACCCTTTGTTATGCTGTTAATAAACAGAAGAAAACCAAATGATCTTCTTTTCTTTACAGGAAATTAACTCTAATTCCTGAATGCTGATTGCTCTTTTCCATTTTTTTCTGCCTTTTATCATTTTTTAAAAATACATTGATAGACATCATTGATACACATCATTGATACATATTATTGTACAATTGTTCAATTGCTACATCTTTGATACACGTATTTGTTTACTTCAAAAATTATGGAAAATTGTGTCTAAGAGAAAGGCCAGGTTCCTACCCCAGTTGTGTCCTAAATGGCAACTCTTTTCATTTGCTCCATGTTATTTTCAGTGGAACAAAATGTCTAATCTAAATCTAAAGGTTACGTTTCTGGACCATATGGCAGTAGAATAAACTTGTTGGAAAGGAGAACCTGGTTCTGTTGATCAGTCTTCTATTTATTACTAAGATTTTGTAAGTAAGACATGTTACACAATTCCCCTTCCCCTTAACCTGAATATTGAGTTCCCATAATAGCAGCAGAAACATGATCTGATTCATTAGACGAACTCAGCTATTCTGCTGTAAATGACATCATGATAAAGGACTGCCCATTCTTAGGGCTTAGTTGATTGATGCAGGCATTTTTCAAGCTTCGAGAACAAATCCTTTTTATTAAAGCAGATTTAAATTTACAAATTTACCATCATTGTTCTAGTGAGCAATAAGACACACATTAAATAAACTGAAATACAAACATGCAATAAGGTTCTGCAAAACAAATATGTTTAAATCCCATACTTGGGAGATTTAATTGTGATTGATATGTTTATTCTCTATATGTGTTAGTTTTAGGCATGCCATGTCCAGGCTAGAAAATCCTGAAGGATTACTGCAGGGCGGCAAGGAGCTATAGTTTTCTGTCTCTTTCTGGCCATCTGGTGATCATCTGGAGTTTTGCAGCCCAAATTTTATATATATTTTGTTTTACTATGAGTTTTTATTCTGCCCTGCAGTGATCTGATTGGATTTTAGTCATGCTTAGAGCAGACCCCTTAAAAGCAATCAGTCTACTCTAAGTATGTCTGAATATAATCTCTTGTGAAGTATCTTACTGTTTTTATTACTTAATTTTATAAGCTTTTAATTTCTAATAAATAGGTTAAATTTGTTGATTAAAAATCCAAAATAGTTGGGCAAGAAACACAGAAGCAGGTCAAACGTAAGGCCAGAGTACATAATCCTAAACTAAGAGCCCATTAATCTTTGTGTGACATGCTGGAGGCCATATTCTAAAAGGAGTGATGGGAAAGACCTGGATTTTTAGACAATATAAATTTAATTTAAATTATATTCAATGTATTAAATAATAGTCCTTCCCATTTTTTCCTTTCTGTCAGTAAAAAATGAAGAATTTTTGGGAATGTCACACGGTGTCATTCCTCAAGTTTTGCACCTCTACATAAGGACATAATACTAGCATTCTGAACTAATCTCATCATTTCTAACTAACCAGCAAACATTCTCTAAACAGAGGTGGACTTTCTTTTTCAGCCTGCGGTTGCATTTTGTCATTAACTAGTGATGCCACACCAGAATGGACAGGGTTACAATTTTTTGACACTATCTGTCTGCATGCGCACACTTTGGGGTTTGCTGGGAAGGGTTTAAGTGGCAAACTAGGTTCTTTCATCATTTCTGAGATTGTTCCTTAGTGTCCTTCATATTTGGGGGATTGGAATTTTAAAGGGGTAAATGAGTGTTCCGAAATTCCCAGCTCATGCGAAAAGTCCACTTCAGCCCACCCCAAGGAGATTCTGGGGCTGAAGTAGGCTATCAGATATGGGCTGCAAAAATTTAGAGGTCCGCTAAATGACAACAAAGAATGAGAGTTTTCTATATCTCTTTTCTGTCATCTAGCAATCATTCAGATTTCTGGGGTGCAGATCTGATAGCCGTATCTGAAGTGAGCAGCCTGCTTTGGTGTCTCTGCATGCAACCTGTGGGTTGTCCATCTCTTGCCAAGCTTTTTATGGCAACCGTGAGAAATAGTGGTATGTTAAAAAATGAAATGAAATTTAATACTATTGAGATATCAGTTCAGTGCAATAATCTGATTTATGTTTGCTGGATTCCCAGATCACACTAAGCCATGATTTTTAAATTAGCCAGAATGACTGAAGTAAACATCACACTAAGCCATAAAGCACAGTTTCAAACCCCAATGGATTGCTTCACATGCTAGGCTAAAAGCAAACACATTATGGCTTAGGACGGTTATTTATTTTTCTTCATGTAAAAATTATAAGCCACCCTTCTCATGCATTTGAATTATTCAGGGCAGCTGAGTGATGTGTGAAACCATTCAGTATGACTCAGCCCTGGGAGAGATAACAATGATCTTTATGTTAAGGATATGTTTAGATATCCAATTCTGTTTAAAAAACGAGTGATAATTACTGAAAGTTATCAGTATCTGATTACTATATAGTCTCTATTTCATTACAAGTCACTTCCCCATTTCATCTCCGCATATAATAGACTTTAGAGAAACCTCAGTATTTATCAGAAGAGCATTTTGAACAATAGGATTTGTGAGCCAATCAAATCCCAGCATACAAATAAAGTAAACAAATAAATCAACTTGTCATGAAACAATAACATAATAATACTGTGTATGTATGGATGTACCACCAGAATAAGTCATAAAACACTGACAGGTTGTTTTAAATGCTGCAATTGTCTGGAAATTTCCCAAATTAATTTTGTTGTTGTTTACTGTTTACTGTTTAGAGTAAAACGGGGGGGTGAACCCTAAAACTTTCACATCTGATTGTTTGCAAGGGTGGGGGAAAAGGAATAGTTTAAAGGCCTACAAAAGAACTCTTATCTGTTTCAAATCTGGACATATTCCTTAGGTTGCAGGTATGTTTACCTGTAGTTTATTCCACCTCAATTAGGTCAGTTGGTAAGGTAAACAAGAGAGCTGGCCAAGGCTGTTGCAAGAACATCATTGCTCAAATATTCCTAAACTCCATTATCAACAACAGACTCTAGAGGCATTTGTGGGAAAGAAGATGGTGGCCATAACATAGCCACAAAGCTCAGTTTTTCTCCATTCAAACCAGGACTTTGAAAGTAAGAGGGAGAGGGCCACCAATGTCAGGAACCCCACCTGAATTAACCTCTATCTGCCATCTAGTCTTGTGTTTGGTTACTGAAGGACCTGCAGAGATGTTAGGTGAAAGGACAGCAACAATTTCAGAACATCAGAAGTCAACTTGGAGTATTTTGTTCTTATAGTACTTTCTGCCGGTATTTTCACTGAAGAGCAAATTATGGTATAGAATCTCAGTTTGTAATGTTTAGTTGGCAGGCACTGAGTTTTATGAGAAATTTCGAGTGAGAAAAATGTTAAAAACAAAAACACCAAAATAACTTTAAAACTGAGAATGTAAACTGAAGCAGAGAGGGTTTTTTGTGTCTGTTATTTTATTGATTTTAATCATGGTGTTAGGAAATAGCCATGGTGGATGTGGGAAATGGAT